TCAGCGTTGTACATCGGTGCCATACTGGTAACGGTGTTAGTCGTCGAGCGCGGTTTCTGAGTCGTCTCTGCCATGGAGCTGTTAGTTCGGTTCACAAGAAAGACACCTCTTCGTCATTTCACTTTTCTTCACAGGATGATTTTTGTGTTGAACACAATGCCCAAGGGTTATCCACCACGTGTGATAGGTATTTTTGATGGTTAAAAACCTTTCACTTAGGTAACCGGGATTCGGTCGTTTCCACGCTAGGCTAACAAAAGACACACACAAGCTTCGTTCATGTTCCCAAAACGATTCTCTGCCAAGTCCCTGGTTTTCACCCGAGACAGCATTAAATCCATCTTTATTTCTTGTCACCCCTTAACCAATTACAATCAGTATAAGAGACTCCAAGGCCTTGCCTTCCAACAAACAACCAATCACATGAAAGTTTTACACATCATAATCAATTAATTACTCGTCAAGCTGTCTAGAGAAAACATTTCTATACATTGTCAACACTAACTAATATTGATGGGGTAATAATCTCGCACTAACATTCCACCAAGATACTACCTTAGTTTAAAATCGCAAACAACATTGGTTTAGAATTACAGCTACTGTCCTGTATCTTAAAAACTGCAGAGTCATAAGATGTTTTTGGTTGATTTCGACCAGCTCGCCATCTGGTCTTGTCATTAACCTTTATCAGTATATGTCATGGCAACCACTGTCAAACTGACTGAAATATAAATCATGATATAAAGATCAAGCAAAAACACATAAAATCACTGAACATTTACAAACTGTAACGAAACGAAACTGACTCACAGGACTCTGATGGTGATGATCTCGTTGACAGTGCAGAGGAAATAGAGACTGATGACTTAATAGTTCCTTAAACTGATTGATGAGGTCAGGGAGTAGAGCTGGAACCTGGAAGCATGCAACGATTCATTAATGTAAATCTTTATTGTTTAAAAAAAAAATTCATGGGGGGGGCGCTACCATATTTTGCCTTTTTCTAAGGGGGGACAGCCCAATTTTTAATATACACCTAGGGGGGGGGGACTTGTGATTATTTAACAATAACATGTGAAATTCACCGTCACCCCCTCAGTCAAATTAACTGGTGATTCCCTTACAGCTGTCTTTAACGTATTTGTTGCGTATCGATACCGATACTTAAACAAGTTTTATTTGTAAATAAAGTACTCGTAGAGTTCTTAGTGAGCAGTTTTACCGTATACCTTGTGTCTCCTAGGTATTTAACACTTATTCCATTAACCTACCCACCACTATACAATCTACCTATATGAGCCGCACAGACAGTCGTCAAAGTTGTTAAATATTTGAACAAGCTTTGATTTATAGCCTGATAAAATTCCATAATGAAGCAGAGCATCATGGGTAAACTAAAATTTCTCTTACTAGTATGTGACGATGCTCCATTGTACCATTTTAATAGAAGCCATTGTTTCAGTCTCATACAGGCTTTATAGTAAATCCACTGTTACTAAGTGCTCGAATCGTGTTACTGAAATATTGCCCTAGTTTCCATATGTTTGGTGAGTCAAGCCGTAACCTCCAAACTTTTCAACTGTCTGGCAAAGCGTTAGACACTCTAACCTCATAAAAAGTTATACTTTCTAGAAGATTCTGACATAAGTCCCGCCTCTAAAGTTGCACTCGCCAATCGCATGGTAATGAACCATCATATTCGACACTTCCATTAACATTATTAGTAGTACATGTACATGGTGTCACCACTGGTCTGGTTTGTGTCTATCAACGGCGATCCCGGAAAGTCATTTTCCGAATTCCATAAGTCAAGATTACAGATATTAACAGGGGACAGTTGCACATAGTTGTACTTAGTTAGGTTCTCACCAAGTCAATTACTCACTATAAGCTACTGTTTCGATACAATGCGGTTTCACATTGGAAAATAAGTCAGGTCTTAGGGATTGGTCAGATACTTCGGCCTAGGGGGGGTCGGCAGATTCCATTTTGCCAGCTGTAAATCTCAGTTGACCCACCCCCTATCAAATAAAAAAAAGTGGGTGACCCCCCCCCCCACCGCATTATATTTTAAAACTTAAAACATGCTGACCCCCCAAAAAAAACAAAAAAAAAACAAAGAAACATTAACAGTTTTGGCTCTGACATGATTACAAAATGTATTATATGTGCATTGAAAATATCATGGTTTGCCATAATTTTTACGTAATCTTTAGCGTTTGCATTTAATAGACCTTAGGAGGGGAAGGGGAAGCATAATACCAAAAAAATACTACAGAAAAGGCTGCAGGAAGGAGGGAAATCTATGATGCTAAAGATAGTAAATAAAAGCAAAGCTGTGGAGTACTCACTCAATAAACACCCTTATAAGATAAGAAAAGAGGATTTGAATCTAGGCGGTTTGAACTCTTTGAAAACTAAGTTGGATTTAAAATATCTTTCATATCTTATAGACTAGGAAAGCTTTACACCCGAAGCACAGTCTGTGCTTATGGAAACAAAGGAAACTTTGATTTTTGCTTAAATTTGTGTTGGATTTTGGTATTTTACAGAGCAAAATATGCATATTTAAAACTTAAAAAAACAAAAAAACTATTTATTTATTTTTTCATCATGTATTTTAATTTACATATCAGCATTTTCACAAATTTAACTTTTTTGATTTGCTGAACAAAAACTGTCACTGCTCTTTGTACTAATTGCTGTGTTGTCTTTCCGTCTCCTGTTATAATTAGATAAATCCAGTAAATATTTTATACAATAGTGACTTCAGACTTTAAATAAAATAATCTGATATCAGCAGCACATGGACTTGGGATGTGTTTAAAACTTAACTGTATAGTTGGGGTTCTAGCCGCATTGCATAATCTGTTAGTTATTTGGCAACGTTAACCTCAAAATATTTAGCCTATAACATTTTTTGCATCAACAAATTTATAAGTAATAGTTATTATTAAGAACACATTTGTACGATTAACTTCTTTATCGTTTGTTCTGAAATATTTTTTTTTAAAATATATGCATGAGCGCGTGTGTGAATTCTGGAAAACATGATATCAAAAATAGGGTGACCCCCCTATTCGAAAATCAAAA